ACACTGTATCCGTGTGGATGAGGGTTGGAGGCGACGCATGTGTAACTTAAGAGTTTGAGCATAGCCATAGATATCGGTAGGATTTGGGTCACTGCAGTCTGAAGCGACCATCTCACCCGGCAAACGTAAGTTACTACCGTAAACTAACTCAGCAGGTGTACACTGTATATCAGTCTTGAGTGTAGAACGAATGCTGAGAAGAACCAACGGCAGAGACTCAGTCCATTTCATATTGTCGACTGCCATTAGTGCGCTCTTAAGGTGTCGGTGGAATCGCTCGACCAAACCATTGGAAGCTGGATGATATGCGGTAGTGCGGATGCGTTTGCATCCCAACAGATTCATCATGTTAGGCAATTAGATGGCTAACGGCCAGCGAGTAAACCTATCGACACATGTCAGTAGGTAACTATATCCATCGGAGGGTGGAAGTGGGCCGACAATGTCTAAGTGGACATGAGCGAATCGTGCGTCAGGTTTGGCGAAAGTTCCAAGTGGTGGGATGTTGTGACGATTCACCTTGGAACGTTGGCACTGAATACATGACCGTGTCCAGTTTCGAACATCACGGTTAATACCAGGCCAAACAAACCTAGCAGATATGAGCTTGTCAGTGGCGCGGATGCCAGGATGTGAAAGATTGTGCAAAGCATCAAAAACATGCTTACGCAAGGATAAAGGAACAACCGGTCTGGGTGTGCCTGTGGAGGTGTCGCACAATATTGACACTTCACTGTTCAGGAGCGGTAGACGCTGTATCTTCAGAGAGGATGAGTGTTGAAGTTTTTCAATCTCCTCGTCTGAATCCTGAAGTTCGGCAATCTTCCGTAAGTCGACTGCTCGAGGCAAAGTAGTGGTGCAAACGCGAGACAGTGCGTCCGCGACAGGGTTATTCACACCAGAAATATGACGGATGTCCGACGTGAATTGCGAAATATAATCTAGGTGACGTAATTCACGCGGTGAATATCTGTCAGTAGTGGTGTGTAAGGCATACGTCAGAGGTTTATGGTCGGTAAAGATGATGAAGTCACGACCTTCCACAAAATGACGAAAATGTTTCACTGAGGCATATATGGCGAGCAGTTCCCTGCCGAAAGTGCTGTACCGCATTTCGCAGGTGGATAACTTCCGGAGAAGAATGCAACTGGGATCCAAGTGTGATCCGAAAGTTGTTGCAACACAGCTCCAATGGCCGTGTTAGAGGCGTCAACCGCAATGCTGAGAGGTAGGTTTACGTCTTGATGCACCAGCATCGTGGCGTCTGCTATTGCGGTTTTGATCTTGCGAAATGCTTCTAGTGCCTCAGGAGTCAAGCTGAAAGTTTTACATTTACTTTTCAGCAGGTCGGTCAGTGCAGTCAAAATGTGTGCACATTGGGGAATGAAGCGACGATAATAGCTCACCATACCCAGAAACACACGCAGAGCTTTAAGTGACGCTGGGACCGGGAAGTCTTGGATCGCCTGTACCTTTTCAGGTAGTGGGCGAATGCCTTGCTCGTCGATAACGTGTCCCAAAAATTTTAGTGAACGAACGCCAATTTGGCATTTGGCCAGGTTGACTGTCATCGAATGCTCTGACAGTCTGGCGAAAACCTGTTTCAAGTGGTTAAATGAGTGTCTTCGTCTGGACTAGCGATTAGTATATCGTCTAGGTAGGCATAGGCGAAATCGAGTCCACGTAAAACATCGTGAATAAAACGTTGGAAGGTTTGTGCTGCATTGCGAAGACCAAAAGGCATACGGAGGAACTCAAAAAGACCAAACGGTGTAATGACGGCTGTCTTGGGAACATCATCAGGATGAACCGGGATCTGATGATATGCACGCGTCAAGTCAAGCTTACTGAAGATAACCGAGCCTTTTAAAGATGCAGTCAAGTCGTGAATGTGAGGGACTGGGTAACGATCTGGAATCGTTTTAGCGTTGAGCCTTCGGTAGTCACCACAAGGCCTCCAGTCCATGCCATTGTTCTTGGGTACCACATGCAAGGGTGAAGACCATGGACTGTTGGATGGTCTGATTATTCCCATTTCAAGCATGTGTTCGAACTCGGCTTTTACAGCACGCAGTTTCTCCGGGGATAATCGCCGTGGTTTCGCAAATACTGGCGGGCCAGTCGTCGTTATGTGATGAGAAACGTTCGAAGTCACACAAGGGACACAACGACTTGGCTTAAAGACATCCGGAAAGGACTGAATGATAGACGCGTAGGGACTAGAAGCGTCCGTCGTGCAGTACACGGGACTGAGGGGCGGCGTCTTTGTGACTATACCGGAAACAGAGAGTGTTGTGGTAGAATCTATCAACTTATGCTTGCCAGCATCTACCAGCAGCTGATAGTGCTGCAAGAGATCCATACCAATAATGCCGGTGGTCACATCTGCCACTATGAAAACCCAACGAAAGGGACGACGCAATCCAAGGTTGAGATCGAGGAATCTCCGACCATAGGTTGTGATGGGCGAACCGTTGGCGGCACGAAGTTGCAGAGACATTGGCCGCAGACGCTCTTCCTTCGTAGGTGGGATGACGCTAGCTTCTGCCCCAGTGTCAACTAGGAAGCGTATCCCAGAATGTCGATCAGTGACGAAGAAGAGGCGACATGGAAGTGGCTCGCCAGCGACGTTAGTCGCCGTCACGTGCTGGCTCACACGTTTCCCGCCTGGTTAGCCTCGAAGGTGCAAGGTCGAGTGCACTTTTGGCATTGGCACCATAACGTTTATGGTACCAGCACAACCTGGGTTGGGATTGTCGCGATTTGGAACGTCTGCTATCGGTACGGGAGGCAGACCTGTTGCGCGAGCGAGACGTGCGACCTTTGTAAGAACTACCAGACCGCATTTCGTTCCTGATGCTGCACAACTCTTCATACAATTTTGAGATGTGAGCTATAACATCGAAACTTGTTGGCTCAACAGCCGAGGGAGGATTTTTGAACGAATCCGTGGCAGTAGACAGTGCAGCTGAGATACTAGTGTTGGGTTTCGTAGCATCCACAGCTCTGTCAGCCGCTTCCGCCAACTCTATTAAGGGACACTTATGGAAGGGTGCGAGGATCCCTTGAACCGACTGTGGTAACCTCTGTAACCACAGTTGCTTGAGAAATGCTTCATCAATGTTGAAGTCAGCAATCAGCTGCTTCATCTGACGAAGCAGTTGCGTCGGCTTGCGATCACCCAGATGCACATCCCTGAAAAGTTCTTGCACTTTCTGCTGGTCAGTAAGTGCAACACGTTTGATGAGGGCGGTTTTGAGGCGATCGTAAAGATTCGGTGCTGGGTCATCTAGCACATCTGAGACGTCTTCAATCACATTTTCCGGTAAGCTGACGATGACTAAGTTGGACTTAGTTTCTTGTGATTGAATGTGTCTCAAGGCAAACTGAGCTTCCACATGGGAGAACCATGCAGATGGTCTGTGGGCCCAGAAGGTGGGAAGCTGGAGGGTTATGGCCATCTGCGCAGTCGAGTCGTTATCCGCCATTGATCAGGGAATTAACGAGGCACGATAGTGATAATAAAAAAAATTACAATGCAAAAATAACCAATGAGGAGTGCAATAATATTAAAAAAACGCTAGACGTGCCAAAAACAAAATAGGCCAGACAAATCAACGCAAGAGAACAAAGGTACTAGACAAAGTAAGAAGTGATACTCGGGCTCACCAATTTTTGTAGGGATGCGTGTTACAATTCCGTAACGTTTGATCAACCCTACTTAATTTGATGTGCTCTAGTACCTGCTTAACCAGTACTTTACCTAACGTGTAAGTACTGGTAACAAAACACAAATCAAAAGAACTGATACGCAATGTATTTAAAGGAGCTATGTATTTAAGGTAAATGTAATAATAATGAATGAGGGAAAAGTTTAATCAACTTATCTGGCTTGTAAGGCTGAACTAGGGACTCGGAGTACGTGCGTGGTGATCAGCACAATGGAGCGCAAAAATGGCGTCCAAGCCTGCTCGGATGCATGCTCGTTAAAACAAAACTTAAAACACCCTAAGCATCCGGAGGCAAGCTAGAGATTTATTTAGTTAATTTAATTTAAACTATTTATTTTAGCCCTAGTTATATTTTGGTGCCAGGAAGGTGCACTACAAGTGGATACGAACCTTCTGGAGGAAGTTCAGAGGTGAGCAGCGAAAGATGTTGTGAGAATGAGACGAAAACCTCTGAGAGTAGTCTGGGAGATTCTGGGCTTTACTCTGCCAACTATAGTAGGTTACGAGGTGACCGCTCACTAAATACCAGGAAATCTAAGTCATCTGGACAGTGGAATCCTGACGAACGACCACTGTTTCACTCCTTGTGGTAACCGGAGAAGAATCGCCCACCAAAGAGTAAAAACCCACTAGTGTGTGCAGTTTTTTCCTTTGCGAGTTGAGGGCAACTGGAACCCACTGTCTGCCGAAGTTGCTACTGCTCCATCAGTTGACCACTGCATCTCCTACTATTAGCATTACTATCTCTATTCACATGACCCGTCATGTAATCTCACTTCCTACTTCTCTGCCCCCTGAATCTATGATCACCCGCAGCTTATTAAAGTTCTCATTATCACTCATCTCCCATGAATCTATCTAGGTTTCTTCTCCCATTCTGCTTCCTTTCATTCTTGTCTCCTCACACGTCTCCCCTGATTTCTCTGGGCATCTTTTCGATCTTCTTTTTACAATTGATCCAAACAACTGTCCAGTAGCAGAAAACCGGAGGAACCCATCTACACCACACTTCTTGGAAAAAACCATGCAATCGCTACAAACTTAATCAGCAACCAAAAGCCCATTGGATCAACCACAGCTACAGCAGGCGATTGGGTAGACCAACTGCATCAGAATCCACCAAATACCTGGAACCGTTCTACAAGACATAGAATCTATTGCAGAAAAATCAGTTGATTTGCACTAGATTGTGAAAACATATTGGATAGTGTAACTATTTGAAGTTCAAGTCTAGGAGGTTGTCATAACAACCGTGTGTAACATATATAAATGTCAAGGTTAAATGGGATGCCTCCTAATGGGAATTTTGACTTTCTAGTCAACTTAATATACCGGGACCTGGAGAATACAATATTGAAGATAAAAACCAGTTAAACAAGATATCTTCAAAATATGGTTCTTTCGGTCCCATACCTAAGGTAGTTTTTCTTATCATTATTGGTGAACTCAAGTAATATTTATCGTTCATGTGATCCATTTGTGCTGTTCGTGAGCCGCAATACTAAATTATGTCGAATCGGGATGCGTGATGAATCTCGTGAAATTGTTTGAGTTACTAGTAACTCTGAGATTTTCAAATTTCTGATAAGAATATTATAGATTAGTATCGTGAATGCACTATTGTAATTACTGATAATTATTGGTTTTCTATAGTACTTAACCACCAATTTATATCATCAAACGTCAAAAATATCAGAAGAAAGCTTTTTAAGTTGATTTAAATCAGCTAAATGACAGTTGACATGTTTGACCACTAACATCTCAGCCAGCATTAGCTTCGGACACACATTGAGTTTTGGGCAAAAACTCGAAAGTTTTACTTCGAGCGCATATGGGTAGACACTCAATATCCCCGAAGTTACCAAACACTTCCCCCGAAACTGTCGAAAATTCCTAAGTGCGTCTAATTTGCATGCAATGCGTCCAAAGTTCAAAAAGTGTAGGCAGTGCGCCCTTAGTTTTGGGATAGCCTATATTCACAGTTCCTAGAAGCTATATCTGGTAGTATTCTTATATATATCGTTGACGTTTCATTGCCGCAAATGTTAGTGTATTACAAATCAGTGAAATGGAAACGGCCAAATTTGTATTTTTGTGATAAGTACCCAGAAGTTACAAGCTGCACCCAAAGTTGAGTTCGGCACTTACCCAAAAACGTCCTTGCCGGCTGGGTCATTGCCACCATTATTCATGGGGATGATATATGTTTTTTATAATTATTGTTCTGAATATAGAATGGTAATTTCAGGGAGCTACCTTCCTTACTATAAGACACATAATAAATTCAGTTTCGCCGAAAGCTACTCAAAGGACAGACTGAATAGACCGTTCCCCAACTTTGAACTACCTTTTTTTTATCTCAACATAGTTTTCAAGTAATGACTGGTTGAAGGGATACAATAATCTAAGTGAGGGTATCACTTTAGTAGGGTCACACTAGTGGCAATCCTCTGAACCTTTTCAATGTATAAGTTGCCCCTTAAGTAAAGGTTGCTACTTGCACATTATTTTATTACCTGTATCTAACTACGGCTGTGTGAATGGTGGTGTATGTGCTTCTGTTCCTCATAAAAAATTTTTATATAGCATTGTATCCTAAAATTTCAAGCGTCGCTGACCAATAGTGCGATGTCGTTTTCAGGCCCTGACTTGTTTTACCTGTAGATTTTGTGTTTTAATGCGGAAAAGAAAGGAGTCTATGTAATGTCCCACGTGTTACTAAACGCACGCTGTATGTTATTGTCACACAACTAATTGCGTTGATTGCGATGAATTATCTCTCTGACCACTCTTTAAGAATGGTTCTTGTGCGAACTTGACAGACGCAGAGGCGAATCATTAATTATCCAATATCTTTTTAACGAGCTTGTGTAAACCAGTTGATTTCTTCGCGCTCGCTTCTTGGTCTTGCGAAACGGCTCCAGATCTTTGGCGGACTTGTTAGATATACCCACGAATACGAAACTAAGAAAGAACACAACAGTGTAGTCGGATGGAATATTATATTTGCGAGGTCGTGACAAGATACCGATCCGTTCCAACTAACTGGCTGGAGGGTCGATTACGAGCAGTGGAACGTAACATGACAGCGTACCAAATAGTATGGATGCTTGACCGGATACCTTCAGCTTAGCAAGTCCAGCTAAACTATGAAGGCCAGCATCAATGTTGAACCCTAGGCTATTGATTCTGGAGAAGTGTGTGACTCTAAAACTCCGAAAGCCATTCAAATCTTCTTGAAGTGTGTTTATGTCGTCATCATCTTATATCTTACCAAACTTTTGCATCTTCATTGCAGAAGCCTTTGAAATATTTGATGGTGTTTAGCTGTTTGTCGGTCTACTGGCGAAATAACAGACGACCGAAAACTCAGCCTTGTGATATTCTTCTCCGTACCAACCTCAGCAAAAGATTATGCAGTTTACTCCTACACTGTCTCCAATCAGCAAAGAACTCTTTGGTCCAGGCAAGCAGATTGGCAGTGTTTTAGTTTCATTAGTAACCTGTGGTAAGCTCTTATCAAATACACTGCTAAGTTCTATGAAAATAAGGTCTACAGAACTTCTGACATCCTCAGAGTTTGCCCAACTTCTCTTTCCGGCAGGAAAATGTCTAAGGAGGCCATCTTATGAGGTGGACATCATGATAGCGCTTTGCAGGTGCATCTTAATGGTTTTCACTATCAATATTTATTAAAGTATAACCACAGTACTAACCAAGCATTTTGACATGTAATTTGATGTATATTGCTGGTGGCCTTTGTGTTTACGGTAGGCAGTATACCCTAACCAACAGACAGTATAAGTGTGGTAATTTGCACAGTAGTTTACAAGCTTTCCTAGGGGTTTTCATTCAAGCTCATCTAATATCTCTAGTACTTTAAACTTTTAATTTGTCATTAGTCAATTTTATAGTGTCTAATCTACTTGGCACCAGTGCTGCTACTGCTGAGGTTCAGTTCGTCAGCAGCTTCTAGGTAAAGAATATGGCAAGGTATCATGCTATAGTCCTTGGTTTTTTCTGGTTATATTGGGTTATCCAAGATGTCTCCATCTCATGCCACAGTACACATTACTTCTGTACTTCACACAGGAAAAAAGCGTCATAATGTCTTCTACTGTGACCATAGCCAGTTGTCTTTCAAATTATATTTAGAAACATTAGTTTGCTATGTATTCTTATTTCTAGTTGCACTGCATTTATTCTTTGCCTCGTGAGTAGGAACGTCAATGACAACACTTTAACGTGTTTCCTCTCATTTCGGTGGGGGATGGTATTAACATTTCTGCAGGAAATTCCTCAATATAAATGGCTGGGTCACTTGAGCGTGGAGTTGCCTGAAGAAACATCATGTTTCCTTGACTAGGACTTTCAAATTGATGATCCAGTCTTCTGATGAGGCTGGAAGGTTAATGGCTCTTATGTTAACCTTCTATAGGTTGGTTCAAGTGGAAATGCTAGGCTGAAACATCACAGCAGCTGTGTACCTGAAGGTGATCACTGTCTGTTCAATTCAGGAGAAACAAAAAGTGCCGTATTAGTTTTAAATTATCTCCCAGAAAGAAAGCTGAGTGGAAAACTGAGAAGATGTGTTGATAATCATATCTCATTGCTGCCTCTGAGAGAGTCAGAGAGACAGAAGTTTCTAACAGCTTCTACTCAAACCAACTAGTTCATGCTTCTGGCGATAGGCTACTACAGTCAACTGATGATGCTTTGAAGTCCCTTACACCCAGAAACCTGCGCCTTCGTGTTTAAAAGGTTAGGAGAATTAAGAAAAAACAATGTCCGCACTTATGGCATTGGTTTATTGTGACCACACCAGTTTTTTGTCTTTTAAATTGTAATTGGAACCGTAGCGGTTCACGCAATCCGTATGTCTTATGTTACCATCTTCGTAGATTGTATACATAAAATATTTTAGGGTTATATAGTGACGGCAACACCCTTGCTAGTTGATCTGTTATCCTAAGATAAGTACCTGATGGATGCAACCCATTGTCTCCAATCTGAGGTGTGAGCCATTTTCCTCAAATGGTGATTCAGATTTCAGATTCAGATTTGTTGTTTAGGGATAGGAGTCTAGGAGCCTATAGTATTCCTTTTCCAGTAGATTTATATGCCTGTCGAATCCCCTTTTGAACGATTCAATGGATGATGCGGACACCACATCTTCTGGGAGTCGGTTCCAGGCGTTGATTACTCGACGCGAGAACCAGAACTCTGCGGAGACTATGTTCGTTCTTTGCTTTTATAGTCTCCTGCTATGTCCTCTGAGGTGTTCCTACCTAGTGGGAGGGTAAAGAGAAGATAGATCGGGTTCAAATTCATTTCTTAGAATCCTGTATAGCATGATTAGGTCTCCCCCTTGTCCGGGACAGGACAAAGTGAAGAGGTTCAGCTCCTTAAGTCTGTCTTCATAGGTGAGGCCAGCCATCGCAGGGATCATGCGATAGACTGCCCTCTGAACTCTTTCTAGAAGGTCCGCGTCACCTTCCAGACAAGGATTAACCGTCTACCTACCTACCTACCCTACCTAGGCAGGTTAGCATCTTTTCAACTACAGATGGCAGTACAGATGAGGGTGTCAACGACAGGATCGAGAAGACAGTAAGACAGGCCTTCCTTCATTAGTCTGAAATTAGTGTAGAGATCTACTGCAGTGCACCCTACATAAAACGTGAATGAGACCCGGATTTTGAACACTGATGTCTATCAAGTCAGTGCTTTTATGTGATGGTTGAGAGACTTGGCTCATGACAAAAAGCATTTCCAACAAACTGCAGACATACATGAGCAGCTGCCGCCTACGCTCACTCGATACTGAAGATGGAGATCAGATGGCCAGAATAATGAGAATAAGCAACAAGGAACTCTGTCTGTGTGGCAAGGAACCAACGAAGCAAGAACCTATCGCCGAACAAATATGCTGCAGAAGAAAGTGGAGATGGATTGGATTGGGCATACAGTGAGAAGGTGGTTTGGGGATGTCACGCTCCAGGTCAGGCCCTCAAGTGGAAGCCGAAGGGGAAACGACGTGTTGGTGGTCCGAGGTTTTCATGGAGGAGATGGTGTGAGGAGGAAATGCAAGCTTGTTGGCAGTGGTGGCGCCAGGTTGAAAATACGTTAGGGAAGAGGATAAAGTGGAGACGTGCTACCGAAATCATATGTTCCACTAGGAATCCAAGGGGAAAAAAATAATAATAGGGATGTGTATAAGATGGTGAACATGTCGCGAATTATTTTCGTAAACGTTCTACGTAATGCCCAGAGAGTCCTAAAACTCCGAGCTGCTACCAATTGACAGTGACCGTGGTTTTCAAGTCATAACTCACTGTGACTCCTAGGTCATTATGGGTCAGTACTGATAGTAGAGGAGCCCCAACAATATCGTAGGTGTTGCTGTGTGTCGCAAGTGCATGCTCACACATTCAGATGCATTGATAGGCACCAGCCACTTCTCTGACCGTTCAGGTCTGCTTAAAGCTCACGTATATCCTCATCGTCCCTAATTTCCGGCCACATTTTTACATCATCAGCACAGAGAACCGTAGGGGATTTGACGATATTTGGCAGCTGATTTACGTATAAGCGAAACATCAGGGGGCCCATTACCATGCCTTGCGGCAATCCACTCTCTTCCGATGGGAGAGTTGAGAATTGATCTTAACTCTTTGTCTCCTACTAACAAGAAAGTTTCTTATCCATGCAAGCAGACTGCCAGTGAATCCAAGACTTTCCAGTTTCCCGAGCAACCTGGGATGAAGTACCTTGTCGAACCCCTTACTAAAGTCTATGAAAATGACATCTACAGGTATCCTATCATTTTGAAACCAAACCCAACTTTCTCTGACTAAAAGGAGGTTCGTCAACCAAGAGAAATTTCTACGAAAACCATGCTGTAAATGGGACAATAAAGTGTTGCTCTCTAGGTGGACTGTGATGGCTTCTTGATTACTCTCTCTGGGATTTTCATTACAGTACTAGTCAAACTTATCGGTCTGTAATTTGATTGCAGCTGCCTAGAACCTGCCTTGTGGATAGGTGTTACTATGGCATCCTTCCAGTCATAGGGGAGTGTGCGTTGACTGACAGTCTGAATATAGTAGTCAATAGGCCAGCTACATAGAGCGCAAGTTCTCTGAACAGCTTTGGGTGCAGCTCATGCCTTCCCGTTGATTTTTCCACGTCGAGATTACTTAGTATCCGAAATACATCATTGCGATCGATATCGATAGAGTTTATTCTGTTGGATGTCATTGCTTCTACTCTTGGATAAGTGTTCACAGAGGATTCCTGTGTGAAGACCTCACCGAAATATCCAGCCATAGCTTCTGCTATTTCCCAGTCGTCCTCAATCAAATAGTCAGTTCCTGCCCCTTTGATTAGGGTGGGTATATCACGACACATCTTATTTCTATGGTTCAAATAGGGAAATAACCTCTTCGGATGTTGCAATGCAGCCTGGGCAGGACGTGTTTCAAAACATATTCGAGACCGGTGGATAGCAAAGATACATTTATTTCGGGCTTCTTTGTTATGCTTCATTACTTCGAGTGTACCGAGGTGGATGGTAAGACTCCAACAATTTTTCTTACGTCGTAGCATGATTCGGATTTCGTGGTTTATCCACGGAGGACAATGTTTCCGTCCCCTCGGAACAGTCCACGGAGTGAACGGTTTGGTCACTAGTGCATATAACTGTTTGAAGGAGCACCAAGCACCTTCAACTGAGGCTTCTGGATTGACTGTCCAGTCCTCCAAAGAGGCTGCCAGGTTAATACCTTCAGTATTCGCTTTCCATATGTTGGGTCTATCTAGGGCATCGGCCTGATACAAGATGTCTGCTGTGAATTTGAAGATGATCACTTTTACCAGGAAGTGATAGGTGCCGGATGAGGCATACATCATCCGCATGTGAGAATATTAAGTCTAGAACTGATGGAGCATGCTGATGATCATATCTAGTTGGTGTCCCAATGTGCTGTATGAGGGCTAAGGAAATTGATGTTCTCACTAACCTGTGGTTAAGCGAATTACATGGTGCTTTTGTTGTTAGTTTATCCCAGTCAACTAATGGTGCGTTGAAGTCTCCTACAAATAGGCATCGGCATTTATCTGTCCAGAGGGTCAACTTATTCAGTAGGAAGTCTGCTGCCTCACATTCAGGGCTTCGATATATCACGATTACGTTAACATCTTGAACCCTGCATTTTAGTCGGCAGCGCAGCATTTCACATGTCCCACTTTCATGTGGAACTGTTTCTATGGCTTTTACAGTCAAGGTATTCTTACATGAAGGATGAAACCACCACCTTTGGGTGCTAACCTGTCACTTCTAAAAGGGATGAATCCTCGTGTGTTTCACAGTCAAGAAGAGAGCCCAGTTTCTGAGATAGCAATAATGTCAAGTTTTTCGTTGCTTATCACATTACTAAGCCTAGTCCACTTGTTCAAAAGACTACGCGCATTCGTGTACAAGACAACGAAACTACTTAAATGAGTTTCCATCCTATCCATAGAGGCTTCGGCATCATTTGTTACCGAAACCTCACCACATGACTGATGTCAGTCAGTGATGAATTCCAACCTCAAAAGTGCTTATTACTGACTCGACAACCACTTTGCAGGGATCTGTGATGTACCAGGCGATAAATGTAAAGTGGTTCTCTGTCTCAGCTACCCAAAAATAATTACTGAGCCAATAAGGTAAGAGCCTGTAAGCCTATTAACCTCTAGAGTGATCAGCACAAAGAGACCTAAATAGCATGATAGCTATAGTCTCTCACTCCATTCATGAGATGGTCAGTAGAATGATTTCCAGTAAATAGATGTTTCGTACTTATGATGCAATTGCGTACATTTAATTACGAATTGGAGGGATATTACAAGGTCAGACAATACTACTCACCATATCGTAGGTTTTTTGGAGGAATATATTCCATATTCCACTGCAGTACTACCAAGACTGCGAAAATTGATGCCTGTGGTGTACAACAAATACATCTGATGAAATTCGTCTGACTGTGTCACCCATGTAAAGCATAAATTCAAAGCTTGGTAGCAAAAGCGAAGAAAATGCTGAATGTAATCAAAAGAAGGATAGTGAAGAAAAGCGTACTGGTGATGACGAAGCAATCGTTGAGAACACAAGTTGTTGGCCAGCATAACACAATAGGATAGTACAAAAAAGAAAGAGAGGCATCATGCACTCACTAAGTGATCAACTCTTGATGTTTGAAGAGATCTTGTCAGTGTTTTTAATTTATTCATTCCAAGAAAGACTGGAAAAGCATGATGAATCTTTCTAGAACGATAAATACTGCCTCTCTTACTGTCGTTTTTCCTCAAGATGTCAAATCTGAAACTGGATTTCACTAAAGTATCATCACCTCAAGCCTTCATTTAATTTACTTTATATTTGGGTGAGTAAAGTGTAGTCCTGTGATGACTAATAATGTGTGGATAAATAGATTTGGCATTCGTATCAGATTGATAAGATATTTTATGCACTTTAAGCTAATCTGCAGATTTCCTATGAAACATTTAGGCTTCCCAACTTACAGTGAAGATTTTTCTTTGCCTTAGAAAATTCAGTGTTTACGATTAATTCTTACAAAAAACGCCAACTCAACTTAATTTCTTTAACCCTGCTTCTGTGAATATGGAGAAAATACTAGAACGAGGAGCCAGTTTTCATCATTGACTGGATCCTCATTGTTTTAATGCACTCACTGAGAAATTAGTGTATTTCACGACAACAAATCAAACGGCTCTTCTGGTTTTTGATGTTCAAAACTTGTTCAACGCTGTCTGAGTACTGGTTTTCTGTTTTCGTTATTGGATCCAAGACTAAATGTTTGATACTGCAAACATGGTGATGTATTCTTTACTGATGTCTCTGTTAACTAGTCAAGGGACAGTAAAAATTCAAATTTTACACATCTATCTTGTAATCTTAACCAACAAACATGAGGAAACACATTAGAACCAGTGATTTCTATATTCGAGGTGTATATGTGTGTGTGATAGTTGGTCACTGAATGTTAAAGTAGGTGATTCTTTGCACCAAATAATCCTTGATAATGGTAAGAATGATTTGAAGTAACTGGATGAACGCTGAGTTGATGAATACACCATGTTTACGCACTGTCGGAGAAGAGTCATATTTCACCCTATAATTCACAGAATTTGGACACTATTTAGGACGGAATCGCTATATTTGTTGCTACTTGATAGCCGACTTCTTTTTTAATAATGCGGTATCTCTTTCACTGTCTGTTGCCCCAAAAGTAACCGAGATGTATTTTAGCTGACATCAAATTGACTTCCTTTTTTGTCCTGTAGAATAACAAGAAGTGTGGAAGGAGAAAAATCAGAACTACTAGCACTCATCATATTGCGCCGCATTATAGTTATAAGAAAATTTGTGAACGACTTTATAACTCACCACAAAAATAAGCTGGCATACTATTTAATGTTATCATATTGATCTTGGTGACTAGTAGAGGAATCCAAGACTCACGTTTTGTCCTATTTGGGACTCGTCAGCTGGATGTATCTGCAACCCAGTGAGTGATGTTATCCCCACTGAGACTCGAACTCAGTACCCGTAACTTCAAATGCTAGTGCGTATTCCACTAAGTTAGACTTGTCAGTGACACTAATTTTAACTTTACTTGCTATAAAGCTCATGTGTTTACCATACACAAGCTATGAAAACGTGTTAGTGATATAATCCACTGGTAAATTAGTTCATCACAGTCTGTGTATATCAGGAATTTCTATTCACCTTCGACATTTGCAGAAACTCTAACTATCTTTGCCACTATTCCTTGTCTTAAATTTAATTTTATAGTTATGTTCAATAGTAATCAAATAAGTGATATGCAATCCTTGGAGTAATTAACTTTTTTCCTATTCAAAGTGTGTTCTTATACAGAGAGTATTTTTTCGATAGCGAAGGTTGAATCTCAGCTTCAAATCACCAGCTCCAAATGCATACAATTTATCCTCTTTGAAAATTAAAGATCGCCAAGATTTCAATCGTGCGCCTTTCACAAGAGCCTTTCTACCAAACATTGCTATTAAATCTGATGAGTATGAACAGCAGCAACTCCCAGCACCTTGTGACTATCAGGTGAATTGTTTACTTGCTTTTTTGAAATTGGAAATTTATTTTAAAAAATGTATATGAAATGCCAACTAAATGTTTTGGTTACTTATAGGTTAACTTTTATTGTAAACAGTAAAGTCAGTCACAGTCTTGAGACTCCTCTGACTATATATGACCATTATATTTAATGCTAGCCATCATTAGATTCTAGAACTCATGTTCTTGCACAGACAGGGTTCATCATTTGCAATAAATCTTTATGGTTAGTAAACGTTTTAGTTTTTGAAAGGTTTGATGTGTCTAGATGGACCGAAAATAACCACCGTTCATTTTGACATCGTGCCTAGCTGATAATTGTCTGTAAGCTACGACTCATCCTGTAAACTTTCGCATAATATCCAGTTTAATAACTCACCTCTATCATACGATTGTTTGACGTAGATGTAGTGATTACAGAAACTCTCTTCAACTCCAAATTCTAGGAGACTGGTTGTTTACTATGAACATATTTGGTAGAGATAGCTGAAGGCACTGAATAAAAACAAAATCTGAGTCTTACGTTGAGTAGAATCATTGGAACGTAAGATTTATTTTTCATCCATTAAGTCATAGGGTATCATTCAGACATCGTCTGTGCCAATATCAACTTTGAGCATAACTGGTTAGTTGATTGCATGTATTGGCTGCTTCCCCAATATCAACTATGAAGGAATATATTTGACTACAAAATCTTGGCACAAGGAAATAATTTAAAATGGCATTCACCGACCTTCTTTATTTATGAGATCAAAATGAATTCTGATGAATTATCATCAATTGTTGGTATACTGAACATCAGTCAGCAATATATAACTACAACTCTAAGAAATGCCCGTCATAGATAGACAAGAAGCATGAATTATGAGTACTGTGCCATAGATTTCATTAGAAAACTATTGGCGTTTGTGAAATCAAATAAGTGAGCAAAGGTGAAGTTGAGTGAAGATACATTGTGTGAACTTGCACCAACTTGGGTGCTTAGATCACTTTTTACCCCTGTTCAGTTGCTACTAGCATGAGAGTGCGGTATTCGCTGCTTTAAGATTGCATTATATATAAGACTGAATAAATCAAGGAGTAACAATAGTCTTTGATACCAGTGTGCGTTAGTCTTGATCATTTAGAAGAGTATAGACAGTCAAATTGGGGTTCAGTGGATGTCGAGATTCAATTGTTCGGAGACCCCATGCAAAGTTAAATTGCTGTTTATCTATTCTGAAATCTTGAACTATTTTTTACTTTTCTTCGGTCTAGTCTGCTTTCGTACATGCTATTATCCTTGCTTCTTCAAACTCTTTTTCATCTCTTTTGATATTCTCTTTTTTGGCTGTTGAGATATTGCAATTCAACTGAGTGCCTTTTCATGTGAGATTCTGCTTCGTGGGATCTGTCTAACTAGCATTCAGAATCTTTTAAACCTCCACTTTATCTGAGGGATATTATTGAATTCCCACAAACATTTTGTTTCTTCCTATCTACTAACTATAGAGGTAATATGGATAAATGGATATTAGATAATCTTAATTTTCATATGTACCCGGTGTTGTTAAAGTCAGATTCTACAAACCTATTTCAGAAATCGGTTTATCACTCATTAATGTAATCGGTGCGACAATTATTCTTGCTTATGATCATTATTCTTCTCAAATATCTCTGACAGGATTGTTATAAATTAAAGTGCACTTTGGAAGATGCACGACATTCATTCTAGTCAGAACAGGTCAAACCACCCTAGATCATCACTTAATAATTTACCTGCTCCACCTAGAATTTCGCATCTGACATCAACATCTCTAAAAGGTTAGCTTCATCAAATGCCAGTACTTCTTCAGAGACACTTATAGTTGAATGAAGATAATCTTCGCATAGCTCTTACCTTCACTTATTGCGTTTTACATCCGTAGAATTAATGAATCAATGCCTAGTGTACTTGCCATATGTTGGCAATCAACAAACAAGCGTATGATATATATTTGCATTTGATAAAACTCAACCATTGTAACTCAGAAACCCAGTAGACAACACTGCATCATTTGAAGTGGTGAGTGCTAGATTTGAGTCTCAGTAAGAGCGCCGACATATTTAGACGCCAGTACATTCGGTTGAATGTTTTAAATAGGGTGCAGTGCATTTCCTAAGTCCCAGTACTAGCCACTACGAAATAAACACCTAAAATCCATTCCCTCGCCAGGAATGTCAAGACGTCTCTACAAAGAGCTTATGAGCAAAAAGTGACTGATGAATTTCGTCTTGTGGAGCAACAATGGGAAAATTATCATGAAAAATGAGCTGTGTGTACTTTCGCCAAGATTGCGTAATACGGTGGTGTCTAATATCACAAATCAGATTGAGGAATTGTTCAGTGTACTGAGGCTTTTACCTTTATGTCCTTAAAGTTATTGTTAGTGTAAACCATTTGTCAAGTAGCATCGTACATTAAAGTGTTTAATGCAATAAAACAGCGAATTGCTGAGGGGTTTTTGTGTCAATTTCTCATGTAGTGAATCATTTCACATGGAGTTAGTTTGTCACATATAAGAAAGTGGAATTTCTATTGATTTTGGAATTTGTTCATCCTCTTCTAGGCAAAACACCAGTCGTTACTAATCTATGACTGGAATGTAGTGACTTATGCTAATTACATATTTTTCTAATTTCTCCTGGATACAACTGTTCGGGTTGAGGTAAGCTGTTGGTGTTCTTAATTCTATCATCCCGCTTTACAACGTAAAATCTCTATTTATTTCACCATATGTCGAAAATTCAACCTCACCTAGTTTACTAGATCATTAGTTTACTAGCCGGTCCTAAGCCAGGAAAATCAATCGAATGCCTGAAGAAACTTCAAAGCACAGAAAAAATATAAAACAAACAAACAAACTTAATATAGGAGTAAAACATGGGCACTGTGGTCGATTGTAATTCCACTTGAGTCTGTTTATTAAAAATGTCACACAGTGAAACAGTATCATTTACAGAATAAAGTTTCGGACAGAATATATTGTCCACATTCATCCATCGACTTATCCTTCGCAGGCATCGGGGAGACGAAATGACGCCAGTTGGTGAAATCCTTTGGGAAGCCAATTGGCTGATGTGTCTTCTCTCGATGAAAGCTAAAGTAAGCATACGGACCTGGAATGTCCGCACGATGTTTGGAAAGAAAGCTACAATAATACAATGCTACGCTGCGCACCTACAAATAATTCAGATCAAGAGAAGAAGGAGGAACTCTACAGACAGTTGCAATCAGTAATAGACAAAACCCCACCCCAGATGGAGGCATCAAAATTCATCCCAATGGGTCACATGAATACCGAACTGGAAGTAGACAACACACGAAGAGAACTCACCATACGGTCGAGAAGCACTCGGTGAAATGAGTGAGAATGGAGAACTGTTTGCAGACTTCTGCGCCTTCAGTGATTTGGTGATTGGAGGTAGTGTGTACAAACTCACAAGGATATTCACAAGGCACCGACATGGATTTGATTTCACCAGACACCAGGACACACACACTACACTGAAAATAAGATCGACTTCATCTCAATGTGAAGAAAGTGGAGATGGAGACACAGCCTACTGGAAACAAGATCAGATGAAGAAGGGGAGCAGATATAGGTAGGTTCACACCATTCACTATCTATCTAGTGCAGGGAACCTACCTGCAAAATATAGTTGAAAGCCTTCAACGAAGTTGATGATAGATCCCAGTTCAAGTTCAACACCCAGAACAGAAACGGAACTGAAAGACGAAACTACAAAGGATATCTCCACATCAGACAGTCATACGGAAAAAATGGGAGACATTGAGCAACATAACCGAGGAAACTTGCGTGGAAGAACACTAGGACTCTTTGAATGCGATGTGGAAGTAAACCTGAATAACCATATTGGGAAGGAAGAAGAAGCAAGGCAAGGAATGGATGTCGATGGGCAGATCGAAGCTGATAGAGGAGGGAGAGGAAGATGGTGAAACAGAAGATGAACCAGTGCAGTGCAGTGCAGTGCAAGGTTGGACAAGGAAAAGAGGAACCGAATACAACGTATAAAGCATTGGACAAAAAGGTGAAGAAGCGTGCACGGAAAGACAAAAGACACTTCTACGACACACTTGCAAGTGAAGCAGAACAGGCTGCTGGTAGGAGAGACAGAGACCTGACAACACTATATCAAATAACCAGTTTGCTATCTGGGAGGGAAGAGATCAACGCAGATGAAGCCAATGAAAGATGGTGAAGGAAAGTTAGTTAGAAAAGGGGGAAACAAAGGATACGATGGGCTGATCACTTCGAAAAGTTCTTGAATCGACCACCACCACCACCATCTACAACTCGTTCAGAAATATCACTAGCAGCTCAGCCACAGAACTATCATTGAACACAAACCCTCCGACAAAAGCAGAGGTCGTGAATGCCATGAAGCTGCTGAAGTGCGGGAAAGCAGCTGGACCAGATGGAATTCCTCCAGAAGCACTGAGGGCAGACGCAGAGACAACAGCGGACATGATCACACCACTACTGCAAAAGGTTTGGAAGGCAGGAAGGAAGGAAAGGTAACTGGCGATTGATTAGAAGAAGAGCTACCTAGTAAAACTCCCAATGAACGGTAACCTAAGTGTTTGCAAGAACTGACATGGAACCCTCTTCTACCCCTGTTCACCCGAAGCGAAATATTATGCCTCATCATCCTGGAGAGACTGAAACGAAAATGCTCTTGATCCAAAATTAGTATTGGAACAGGTTGGCTGCCTGGCTCCAGGAAGAACAAATCATGTGCGGACCAAATTGCAACACCCCGCTACGCATCATCATAGAACAGAGCACAGATTAGCGGTCAAATCTTTACCTTACCTCAACTTCATCGACTTTGGAAAGCCCTTCGACAGCGTCGACGGCCAATTAATTTGGCAGGCTGCTGCCTCAACACTACGGTTCTAATGCCACAAACCTTCACCAACCTCATTCCACAGCCAAGCGATTCAC